GGGGAGGGGAGCCCTCCCAAAGGGAAAGGAGCAATCCCAATGGGACAGGAGCCATTCCAATGGGATAGGAGCCATTCCCATGGGACAGGAGCCATTCCCATGGGATAGGAGCCATTCCCATGGGACAGGAGCCATTCCAATGGGACAGGAGCCATTCCCATGGGACAGGAGCCATCCAGCAGGATCCAGAGCCGCTGGAGCCCCAGAGTGGCCAAGAGCTGATCCCAAGGGTGGGAAGGAGTTATTCCCATGGGAAAGGAGCCATCCAGCAGGATCCAGCATCCAATGAAATTACTGCTCCTTTCCCATTGGGAATTGCTTTTCCTCATCCATTTTGTGTGTCCTTCCCAGGAGGATCCGAGCGGGAACGGAGCTGACTTGGGATTACAACTATGAGGTTGGAAGTGTGGAAGGCAAAGAACTTTTGTGCTGCTGTGGAGCCATCGACTGCCGAGGGCGACTGCTCTGAGCTGCTCCCACCTCATCCCACTTTTCCAGAGTTTTCCCATTCCTAAAGGTACAGCTCCTTCTCACACAGCCTCCCAGTTCTCCCATTCCCTCAGAAAACCAACAGCTGGATAAGGAGCTGGATGAGAATCCAGCTCTGTTTGAGGAGGTGATTCCAAATCCTTCCCTTTCTCCCATTTTCCAACGATCCCAAAGGACAATCAGAGCTTTTCCTGCTTTCTCCCCCCAAAAAAATTAAGGCACAACTTTTATTTTTTTAGGGTTTTTTTTTTTTTTTTCCCAGCAGGAAATACTTCCTCAACACTTCCCTAAGATTTTTGGGAAGTGCATTAACATGAGCTGTTGGAAATGGGGAGGGATTAGAGTTGGCAAAATCCCCGGAAAAAACTGGACCAATCTGGATTTCTGACATGGAAAAAAAAAAAAAAGAAAAAAAAAAGATGAATTTTGTAAAGAATCTTCTGATTGTCAAAAAGCAATAAAATCTGTTTTTATCTAGGAAAAAATAATAATGAACTTTGGAAGAAGATTTCACTTCTTTCCTCCTTTTTTCCATGGAGGTTTTCCAGGGAAAAAATGCCAGAGGAGGATTTTAAGGAGCTCCTACTTTTTCCACTTCCATTTGGGAAAAACTCAAGGCAAACAGGTTGGAATTTTCTCAGAGGAGCAGATTCAGTGCTGCTTCCCATCTCCATCCCTTCCAGAATGTCCTGGTAGGTGGAAAATATGGAATTTTCCAGAAATTCCTGCTCTGGAATGACAACTGAACCTCCTGCAAGGAACCAGGAGGGTGAAACAGCTGCTGGCTACAAATCCACCTGGAAAAAAAAATAAATTTGGGAATGAGAAAAATGAGAAAAACCTGGAAATGTTGAGTTTTGGGGGATTCTCTTGGTGTTAGGACTCTAAGACTGATCCAAAAACTTCACCCAACCTGGAAAAATGCGGGAAAAGAGGAAAATTTTTCCACGGAGAGGTGTAAAAAAAAAAAAAAAAAAAAATCAAATTTCCAACTGTTGATATGGAAAAAAACTGATCCCAGAGGGAGTGGAGCAGATTCCAGTGGTGTCATCCCACTCCACCTCCTCCCCCAGCTCTGCACAACAGAATTTTTATTTTTTTTTTTCCTTTTAAATAACTTTTTTCAGACCTCCTGGAGCTCCAGTTCCATCCTCAGCCTTTACCTGAATAGAAGCTTTGTCACCTCCTCCCTGGGAAATCCAATCCCACCTTCCACTTTGGCTTGGAAACATTTGGAAAAAAAGAAAAAAAAAAAGAAATAACCACCTCTAAATATTCCTTTTTTTTTTCTCCCTCAGGAACCAACAAAACATCCTCAAAACTTTATTTTTTTTTTCTTTTCTTACCCAAGTTTATTAGTTTCACTTTTAATAGATTTGATCCTTTTCTTTTCTTAAAAAACAACAACAAAACACTATTTTTTTTTTTTTGGTCTGCATTTTGTTAATGGTCTTTTTTTTTTTTTTGTCCTTTTTTTTTTTTTTGGTTTGTGTTTGGTTAAGGGTCCTTTTTTTTTTTTTTTTTTCCTCCTCCCTCATATCCCACCCCTCAAATCCCTCCCCCCAAAATTCCCAATCCCTCCATGCTGGGAGATCTCACAGCATTCCCAAGTGGATGCAGGAGATGGAGTCAAGCCTGACTCCTTCTATCTTCCAAATAAAATTTGTCTATAATTAAAAAAAAAAAAAAGAAAAAAAAAATAAGGAATATTCAGTTGGAATTTTATCCTGTTACAGCTGGGGGGAAAAGACCTGGGAGAGGGAAAAAAATGAAGGGATTCAACTCTGTCGAGGCACAGACTCAATCCCAAACTTTCCTTCCTTCCTCCAAGGACTTCCCTAGTGTCATCCCCTCCCTTAGGCACGAACACCCAGGAATTCCCTGCTCCTCCCTCCCAGGGGAGCAAGGACTGAGCTGGAATTTCCAGCTGGATACAGGTCAGGGAAAAAGATTTTTCTGTTTTCCCCCCCAACCCGTGGCAAAGGAATGGTTAGGAAAGTGGGAATAACACACAGGGGCTGGGGCCCCCGAGCGGCCAAGAGCTGATCCCAAGGGTGGGAAGGAGTTATTCCAATGGGAAAGGAGCCATCCTAAAGGGATAGGAGCCATTCCCATGGGATAGGAGCCATCCCAAAGGGATAGGAGCCATTCCAATGGGATAGGAGCCCTCCCAATGGGATAGGAGCCATTCCCATGGGATAGGAGCCATTCCAATGG